TATATATATATTTGTTTATCTATCTATTTGTTTATTATTTGTTTACTTATTTGTTCACTTACTGATACCTAATGAAAAATCTGTCTGTCAGTTTTGCACAACTTTTACACAAAAATATAAATTTTTTGAGTGTTATTGAAAGCAATGAATCCTAAAAATTGTAAGTTGATATTTTAGCGTACCACTTAGACCGTTCTTAACATAACAGATTCTAGCCAAACTCAAAAAAAGCACTTCATTTTTTACTTTGTTTTTGCAGAATCAGTTTTGATTGTCTGTCGCCTCTTAATAACCGAAGAGGCAAAAAAAAACTGAGATAAATGTTTAATCCAATGTCTACTTCAAAACAACGCTATTAGTATAGTTGATTGTATAAGTAAAAAACTGGAAGAAGTGCGTCTAAAAAGATAAGAAAAAGAGATGCAAACCAAAAAACCGGAGAAAAAAAAAAAGAAACCGAAAATCAAAAATGCTTTTCTGTCTTTTGATGACAGTTGTGTGGTGTTTTTTTTTTTTTTCTCATCTACTTGATATCTGGATACTATCAATGTGTACCGTTGGTGCTTCTTCAGAAATTTTATCAGCGATTCATTTGTGCCATTTCTGTTAATCAATGAATGTAATCCGTTAGAAAATTTCAGTATAGAGTATATTTCTCATTTTTTCATACTTCGTCAAAAAATTCCGTTTGTAAGCATACATTACATTTTATTAACTACGACATGTCAGTTTATCTTTCTTCTACTTTTTATTTTTTACCAAAGTACCACTTTTTAGTCAAATTTTGGCAGCTTTAAGCATTTTTTTGATATTTTATACTGTATTCAGGCAAATTTATTCGATACTTTTGTCAAATTTTTCAAGATCGGTTATTAAAGAGAAATTAAAAAATATTGGAGGGTTTGATTTAGGCGTTCTGTTTTTGTGTTGCTGATTGATCTTTACTTCAAACGATTTGGCCATTTGTTTGCTGTATATCGATGAATCTGTTTTGGTTGACCACTGTTTGGTCAAGCAAACTTCGTGTCATCTTTTTTGCTGCAGTATTTCATTTGTTTTCTAGTTTTGCAGAAATTCTAAACGTTGGTTGAAAAAAAAAAACATTTATTCGGAATTGTATGAAACAGTTTTCCAATGGCAAATAAAGACGATTTATTTTGGGATGCAATAGGAAATAAAAAAGTTGGCGATAAAAAGAAGTTTCGATTTAAATTTCGGATACGAAAAGGTAGCAAAGGAGTAGACCCAAAACCGTTGGCTGAACTCTATGGAGTGGATCCAAAACAAATTGAAGCCGTATGGTTTCACCTGTGTTATTTCGTTATGGTTAAAAATTTTACACGTTATTTAAAAAAGGAAACAATATTTTATGACCTATTCGCTTCAACTCAATGTTACAGTTTCTCATTGATAACTTATCGTGTTATTCATTTATTTTCAGATTTTGCTATAATTATTTTTTTAAAAATTTGTTTGGAATTCTAACTTTTCTTCATATTCGAGTAGCAGTAATAAATAATGAAGAAAACAGATACTGGAATGAAGCATGCATTTCATTTGGACTAATTTCAGGTATACAGTGCATTTTTGAAGATTGACGAAGATAAAAGCGGTAGTATATCAGCGCCAGAAATCGCTCAAGGTTTAGCCTCATTAGGGCTTGAAGTATCACCAAAAGTCGTTCAGGTAACACCAATTTTGGCTCCATCGTAACTTCTTTTATTTTTGAGTCAAATATGATTCTTGAATATGCCAGAAAACATAGGTAACAGTTAATGTTACAGGCAGTAATGCGAATCTCTGATCGTAATGGTGATGGCGAAATTAATTTTGAGGAGTTTTTAGCTGTTGTTATATCAAAAACTAAGGTATGTCAGCAAACACTTTTTATTTTGGTTTAAAATTTCACTCAACAATAACGGCAACAAGGCTGATGAACAGAAAAAAACCGTTGAAAACTTAGACTTTTAGTAGTTTTGCAAATTGGATTGTATATACATACAAATTTTTTTTCATTTTTCTTTGATCTGTTTGAAACCAAAAATTCTAGACATACACGGTACCGCAATTCTGTAAGCAAGATTCATCTATATAATTTTCTACACTGCCGGTGATTCTGCAAACAGAAACCAAAGTATCACTGTCAGAGAAATTATAGAAATAATCGACAAAAAAAAAATAAAAGCAAAAAACAGCTTATATATTTTTGCAAATAATTCTTATTACTTTTCTTTTTCAGTTGAAGAGATACAAATCGTGTATGCAAAAAGTTTTGGATGAGTTGAAAGCTCAACCAGATGAAGTTGTAAGTCTTCATTTTTTTCTTTTGTTTTTTTTTCGTCTTTTTTTTTCCACTTAGTTAAGCATTTTTGATAAATGCCTAAAAAAAGCGTTAAGCAAAAATGAAATTATTTTCTTCTTTTTTTGATTTATACATTAGTATGTATGTATTTATGTCTTTGTAATGCACTGTAACCGTAAAAAAGCAAAACAACAGAATAAAAAAAGCGAACAGCAAAAAAAAAAAATACAATTAAAAAAAAAAAATTTGAACTATTTTTTGAACAGTTTCTTTTTCTGTTTGTTTGCTGTCGTTTTGCTTTTCAATCATCTTTTCAATCATCTTCACTAATTTTATCAATTTTTCTACAGCTCACAGCCGACAAGCTTCAACAAGCCTGGTCTAAAGGCACGAATACAACGATAACCTCACATGAATCTGAAGCCCTGTTAGCCTTAGCGGATATTGCCAACGAAAAAGTGGTGACGTTTGAACAGTTTTCGGCTATGTGGGAACATGTATAAAAACAAAACATACACGCACATGCACACACTCTAACACACAGTCACGTTCACACACTTTCACACACACACACACACAC